ATAGAGCATGGTTTAGGGCTGTTGTACATAGAGTTGCTATGAGTCGCAAGTGACGGGACATAACAACGACAACAACAACAACATGTGCTTGTTTGGTTACTACAAGTGGTTTGGTGTGTTGTGATGGGGTGTGGGTTTTGGTTTGGTTTTTTTCTTTCTCCCCCCTCCCCCCCATTTGTCCCGTCGAGTTGGATCTGCTGGCACAGGAGGCGGTTGCCCTTCCTTCTCCAGCAGAGCACACTATGGGTGTTGGGTGGTTTTTTTTTTTAATGAGTTCTTTAGTTTGTGATGAAATTTACATACAATGAAATACTCTAAGTGTTCACAGTGAGCTCCAGCAAATACCAACACTTATCAAAACGTACAACAAACATCGCTTTTACCCTAGAGGCAACTGCTGTTCTGATTTAGGTTACTAGATTGTTTTGCCTGTTCTAGGATGTTGTATAAAATGGGGTATGCACTTCTTTAGGGTAAGGCTTCTTCAACTTCCCCTATTGTTTTCCAGATTCATCCAGATTGCATGTATTGGCAGCCCATTCTCTTTCTATTGCTGTATTAGAAATATAATAGTATTTCTAATATTATTCCAGGGAGCTCTAGTGGCAAGAAGCTGTGCTACAATCCCAAAGGCACACGATTCAAGGCCACCATGGGAGAAGGATGGGCAATCTCCTCCCATTCGATTAACTGCCTCTGAAAACCCACTGGAGAGTCAGCTATGCTTTGGTTTCGACTCTGTGGTACACAATAACAACAATATTATTCCACATAAAGGAGCTCTGATTGCCTGGCGGGTAAGGAGTTGTGCTGCCAGCTCAAAGGAGGGCAATTCGAATCTCGCAACTGTTCCATGGAAGAAAGATGAACAGTCTCTTCCTGTGTAATGTACAGTCTCTGAAAACCCACCAGAGGGTCAATCTTTGTCTTCATACACTATACAGATCCTAATCCTGTGTCAGATGTGTGTCTGCGATCTCCTCTTTTTAGAGGAGTGGGGCCCTCGTACTGGATCCTGTTTGTCATTTCCCCCTAAAATGATGCCAGGGATTCTGCTTGGTTTAACACTGCATTTCCAGTTCTTGGGATGTCTACTGGCCTGTAGTAGTAACAAAATAAATATAAATATTTTTTTAAAAAGATGAACAGATGAACTAATTATTAGACCAGTTATAATATTCTAGAACTAAATGACATTAATTATTAGAAGGAAATAAGGTTGTTGTTGTTGTTGTTGTTGTTATGTGCCATCTAGTAGCTTGCAACTCCTAGTGATTCTATAACAAGTGCCAACCTCATTGTCTCCAACACACCTACTCCCACAACCCGAATCACTGAATCGATTCTTCTCATCAAGGGTCTTCCTTTCCTGCGCCGTCCCTCCACTCTCCCAAACATGATGTCCCTCTCCAAGGACTGGTCCCTCCTTGCAACATGTCCAAAGTATGTCAGACGAAGCTTCAGAATCCTTGACTCCAAGGAGCATTCTGGCTTCCCCTCTCCAGGATAAATGTGTTTGTTCTCCTAGCAGTCCATGGTATATTCAACACTCTTCTCCAGCACCACAGCTCAAAGGCATCAATTCTTTTTCTGTCACCCCTATTCACTGTCCAGCTCTCCGATCGCATAGCACGCAACTGCTAAGACAATATCCTAGGTCAGGTGCACCTTAATCTCCAGCCTGATGTTGTTTCTCTTCAGTCCTCTGGAGATGTCCCTGACAGCTGTCTTTCCCAGTACAATTCATGTCTTGATTTCCTGGCTGCTGGTACCAAGAGTGTTGACTGTGGAGCCAAGCAAACTAAAATCGTTAACCATCTCAATCTCTTCACCATCCATACTGATGCTGCCAAGTTGGCCCTGTGGTGAGAATCTTTGTTTTCTTGATGTTGTGCTTCAACTTATATTGAAGGCTACAGTCCTTGACCTTCTGCAGCAAACACTTCAGGTCCTCCTCAGTTTCAGAAAGCAGGGTCGTTTCATCTGCATAATGCAGGTTGTTGATGAATCTTCCACCCATCCTGATGCCACATTCCTCCTCATACAGCCCAGCATCTCAGATGATCTGTTCTGTATACAAATTGAAAAGTATGGAGAGAGAATACATCCCTAATGGATACCTTTCCCAATTTTGAATCATGCAGTGTCTTCTTGCTATGTTCTGATGACTGCCTCTTGGTCCAAATATAGGTTTTGCATAAGCACAGTCAAATGTTCTGGGATTCCCATTCTTCTGAGAGTCAGCCACAGCTTTTGTGATCCACACAGTCAAAAGCCTTTGCTTACTCAATGAAGCACAGATAGACATTCCTCTGGTACTCTCTTCTTTCTGCCAAGATCCATCTAACATTAGCTATAAAATCCCTAGTATCATGATCTCTTCTAAACCCAGCCTGCACATCTGACAGTTCTCTGTTGACATGTTGTTCCAGTCATTTTTGGATAATTTTCAGCGAATCTTGCTTGCGTGTGATATTAATGCTATTGTTCAATAATTTCCACACTCTGTTGGGTCTTCTTTCTTTGGAATGGGAACAAATATAGATCTCTTCCAGTCACTTAGCCAGGTGGCTGTGCTCCAGATTTCTTGGCACAACTTAGTGAGCACCTCCAGGACAGCATCTGTTTGTTGAAATATGTCAATTGGTATGCCGTCAACTCCTGGAGCCTTGTTTTTTGCCAATTCTTTCAAAGCAACTTGAACTTCCTTCTTCATCACCACAGGCTCTTGATCCTCTGTTATTTCATGAAATTCTTCTGTGTCAGCCAATTCCTTCTGATACAGGATCAGTAGCTGGAAAACATGGACTTGGCGACAGAAATGAGGCTAGAGATAGAATGATAGAATTTTTCACATTCAATGATTTATTCATTGCAAATACCTTTTATAAGACACACAAACACAGGCTATACACATGGATTTCACCTGATGGTATGCATAGGAATCAAATCAATTACATTTGTGGAAAGAATAGATGCAGAAGCTCAATATCAGCTATGAAAACCAAGTCAGCTGCTGATTGTGTGACAGACCGCCAATTACTCATATGCAAGTTCAAGCTGAAGTTGAAGAAAATGAAATCAAATCCACAGTAACCAAAATATGACCTTAAAGTCTATCCCACTGGAATTTCAAAATCATCTCAGGAACAGGTTTGAGGCCTTCAGCCCCAATGAGCGTAGACCAAATGAGCTGTGGAATATCAAGAATATCATTGTGAGGAATACAAAAGATCATTACAAAGGCTGAGGAGGAAGGAAAGACCAAGATGGATGTCAGAGGAGACTCTGAATATTGCATTAGAGCACCAAGAAGCCAAAGCTAAAGGAAGAAACCAAGACATTCATGAGCTGAACAGAAAATTTCAAAAGGCAGCTCAGGATGACAAGGCAAGGTATTATAATGAAATGTGCAAAAAGCTCGAGTCAGAAAATCAAAAAGGGCCAAACTTGCTCAGCATTTCTTAAGCTGAAGGAAATAAGGTTACAAAACTTTTTTTTAATAGAAGTAGGAAATAGGAACAAAGTAGAAAGTTTAAGTGTTGTCCTTGAACTGTGAAGTACACTGGGTACAAAGAATGCTGTTTACCTCAGGGGACTGGTCACTCAGGGCAAGCACTGGTGGCATGAATATCTCACGGACTAGCCTAACGTGTCCCCATTATAAACTCACTAGTGCAGGCCACTACTATTGTCTCATTTTCCACATTCTGGGACTATACACTGCTCTGTCTAAGTCATAAATTCTGATTCAACTTACTTGCTAGATTGTTGTTTTGTGCCATTGACTTGGAATTGACCCACAGCTGACCCTCTGGTGAGTTTTCAGAGGCAGTAAATTGCATGGGAGTAAATTGCTCACCTTTTTCCTCAGTAGTGTCTGGTGGATTCGAACTGCATGCCTTTGATTTGGCAGCTCCTTACCCACTAAGGCACTAGAGCCCCCTGCTAGATGATTAGAACTTATCTAATAGTTTCGGATCCTTGAAAACTCTGTGGAGTACAGTTCCACTCTGCACACATGGAGCCCCCATGAATCAAAGTCGACTTGAGAGCAACTAAGAACAATAAAGGGAACTTACTCCTGCCGGTCCCACTGTGCATCAGAGAGTTGGACACTGATTAAGGAGGACAGAAGGAGAATTGATGCCTTTGAGCTTTGGTGTTGGAGAAGAGTATTGAAGGTACCATGGACTGCTAGGAAAACAAACAGATTCATCCTAGAGAGGGTTAAACTGGGCGGCTCCATGGAGGCAAGGATTCTAAGGCTTCGTCTGACATACTTTGGTCATGTTGTAAGGAGAGACCAGTCCTTGGAGAGGGACATCATGCTTGGGAGGGTGGAGGGCAGGCACAGGAGGGGAAGGCCCTCTAGGAGATGGATTGATTCGGTAACTGGGGTAATTGGGATGAGTGTGTCTGAGACAATGAGATTGGCACAGGACAGAACAGAGTTTAGGGCTGTTGTACATAGGATCGCTATGAGTCGCAAGTGACTCGTTGGCACATTACAACAACACCAACAACCTTTAGTTTGGCAGCACAATTCTCAAATTTTAAAATGTTGCAGAGCCAGAATGATTATACAGTGTAAAAATTATCTTAATTTGAATTAAGCTTTCAAAAAATTATGGTTGCTATGCTAAGGAGGGTGTCTGCTTCTAAATTACTGTAATTAATAAATGTTACTGTGCATGCCAATTATAGAAGAGGGGTTGCATAAGACTCATAATTTGTTACTGAATAATGATATTACAGTTACTTAGTTAATTGTGTTATATAACCAATGGAATAGAAATCATTACATGTACCAGCCTTGCTCTCTAAAGGACAGATGTGGGTTTCTATTGCTCCAGTGAAGAATCTGTAGATTGTTAATGAAATATTGTTCTTTGTCTTATCTTGTTCTGTAGGAAAGCCAGCAGAAATCCACCAACGTGGTCTATCAGGCCCACCATGTGAGCAGGAATAAGAGAGGACAGGTGGTTGGAACAAGGGGTGGATTCCGAGGATGTACCGTGTGGCTAACAGGTATACCATGTTCTTGTATACCTACCTACATCTTTTGTTATTAAGGGTTAATATGTGTAATAGGTCCTACTATTCTATAGGGGTTTTTGGTTTGGTTTTTGCATCCTTTTTTTTTTTCACTTGAGAATGAAACTGAAAGCTGAAATAGAAGGCAGAGGTTTTAGGCTTTGTCTGTAGTTTGTTAAACTGCTAGTCTAAGGGCAGTTGGTTCCAATCAACCAGCAGCTTTGTGGACAAAACTACAGGCGTCCCCTCCTGTGAGATTTCCAGTGTGAAAATCTGCTGGAGTGTCAGGTGGGAGATTGCTCCTTCGCAACAACACTGTTGACTCTTCTTTTTCTTCTCCTGGTGAGAAGACTATAATCAAGCTGCTGAACTTCTCTGATTCTCAGTTTTCTCTCTTTGGCATGAGAGACTGGGACAAGTTGGTGGTGACATTCCTTTTAAGCCCTAAGGAATTCCATAATTCTCACATTCGTGTCTAAACACATCTATTGGCAGCTACGCATGGGGCTTTCCTAACTTGACATTGGCGGTCCATCAGCTTTTGAATGTTTAGAGATAGATTTGATTGTTTTCTGATGCTTTTGTTTTCTAGTGAACTATTTCACTCAGTCTAAAAAAGGCATAAGAATCAGTGCAAGAAAGAAGGCTAGTGATTTCCATTAGCCTTTTGATTGTATATTTAAAAAAAAAATAGCTCGGTCCCATTGAGTTGACCAAATGAAACACCGTTTCATTTGTTGTGTCCCTGTGGCCATAGAATGTCAAAGCTAAAGGTTAGTAACAGAGCCTGGGTGAGAACAAGATGCCCTGATATTCTGAGTGGAGGTGGAGGAAGTTGTTCCCTGGGAGCATGAGTGTGACCCAACTGGACTCAAAAGGGAAAACTGAGTTCATTATGGAGACATGACATTTCAAATGGTAAAGAGCCCAGATGCAAATAAACCTTTCTCCACTTATGCACTCATTTTACGCGTCTGCTCCCAACTGCTGATTTGAAGATAAGTTAGCTATCTTTCTAACCTGAATTTGAAAGAATGTGGCAAGCAGGGACCTGCCTTGCATCTTTTCTTGCTGTTTTGAGCTGTTCCCTTTCCTGCCCCAATCAGCCTTATTAATCATCTTATCCTTCTCAACTCTCACCCCCCACCCCACTCCTGTCACCCTCTGTCTTAGTTACCTAGTGTTGCTGTAGATAAATGTTTAAGATGAGTGGCTTTAACAAAAAGAAATTTAGGAAGTTCTTGTGGCACAGTCTGTGGGCTAACCAAAAAACCAAAACAAACCAACCAACAAACAAAAACCTAGACATTTTTTTTCTTACTGGTTTGGAGGCTAAAAGTTCTCACAAATCAGTCTAAAGTGTCAGTTCCTTCTTTGTTGGTCCCCTGAGGCATACTTGGTTACTAGGAATCCTCACACAGCGTCTTACTCTCCCAGCTGATGCATGCCTCTGTGCACTGATACAGCCTCATTAACATAACAGAGAAAACTCTATTTCCAAACAGAATTTTATCCAAAAGCATAAATGTTTGGATATCAACACTCTTTTCACAGGAAAGGAAAAACACAATTTGTAACACCCTCCTTCAACTTCATCTCAGGGCTTCTTGCCTTTGGCTTTCAGGTTTCATTCACCCCCGGACTTCAGCATTAAAACAGCTCTCTCTAGCCAGAAATAAGACAGATGGAGTCAAGGAGTTTATTGGCGTTAAAAGAGGCCATGTTCACCGGTCATTGCTCCTGAAGGGTTTAACCCCAACTCATTCTGAAAGACACAGTTTGTAGCAGTGGGTAAAACACAGCTGTATTCTGCAAGCTTTTCTCTTGGTGTGTGTTTGTTTTTATAAGGTATTTGCTGGTGAAAACAACATTTGGATGGGGGGAAAAACCCTCACAGATTCTAATTTCCATAACATGGAATACTCGTGGAACAAGAGAACTAGAAGAAGAGAAAATAATTACCTTTTTACCCTTATAAATTCAGAAAGGGAAATTTTTCCTAATATTTTTTTAATTATTAAGTTATAGAAGTAGAATACTAGCCAAGAAGAAATTTAATACCTTTAATCCAGTTCCTTGGATTTTAGCCCCAGTTCCACCTATTATCACTGTGTTTAGCCAGCCAATAAATAGACTTCTGCAAGCCCCAATTTCCTTATTTGTAAAAGGAGAGTTGAGGTAATACTTGCTTCATAGAACTGTATTGTTGTTGTTGTTAGATGATGTTAGTAAACTAGACTTGTGGTGATCCTATGAGAACAGATCTGAACCTTCTATTACCCTGCACCATCCTCATCATCTCGATATGCTCTAGTCAGTCACTATGTCAGTCCTTCTTGGTAAGTCTTACTCTCTGTCTCTGACCTTGTACCTCTCCCCGCTTGATGTCTTTTTCCAAAGACTACCCACTCGTGGCAACATGCCCAGGTGAAATGAAGTTTCACTATCTTTGCCTCTAAGGAGCATTCTAGTACCTCCTCCACCTTGGACTTGTTTGTTCCTTTTTTTTTTAACCGCAAAAATTTGAGGTTTTTTCAAAGAGCTGAAAGTTCATAGTGAAAATGGCCTTCCTGGCAAGTAATTGTAGATTAAACTCTATGAACACAAAAGGAATGAGGGGTAATAATATGCTAGTAATTACAAAGGCTGCATAGTGGAGGGGACCTGGGGGGAGGGATTGTAAAACAATGAAAGAATTTTTCTTTTACTCTTCCAAGAGGGTAATGTACTATGGGGGAGGATTGGGAGGGGAGAAAAGTGCAACAAGGAATGAATGGAAATCCAAAGTGTCTGTAAATTCTCATTGAAATTAATAATGTTGTTGTTGTTATGTGCCATCGAGTCGCTTGCGACTCATAGAAACCCTATGTACAATAGCCCTAAACTCTGCTCTCTCCTGTGCCAGTCACACTGTCTCAGATACACCCATCTCGATTACCCCAGTCACTAAATCAATCCACCTCATAGAGGGCCTTCCCCACCTGCACTGTCCCTCCACCCTACCAAGCATGATGTCCTTCTCCAAGGACCGGTCCCTCCTTAACAACATGTCCAAAGTATGTTAGACGGAGCCTCAGAATCCTTGCCTCCAAGGAGCAGCCCGGTTTAACCCTTTCCAGGGTGAATCTGTTTGTTTTCCTATCAGTCCATGGTACCCTCAGTAATCTTCTCCAGCACCACAGCTCAAAGGTATCAATTCTTCTTCTATCCTCCTTAGTCATTGTCCAACTCTCTGATGCATAACAAGTGATAGCAAAGACCATGGCCTGTATCAGACATACCTTAGTCTGCAGAGAGACACCATTGTTCTTCAGTACTTTGGAGAGGTCCCTAACAGCAGACTTTCTCATGGCAATCCATCTTTTAATTTCCTGGCTACTGGTGCCAAGAGTGTTGACTGTGGAGCCAATCAAACTAAAGCTGTGAACAATCTCAATCTCTTCACCATCCATCCTGATGCTGCCAATTGGTCCAGTGGTGAGAATCTTTGTCTTCTTGACATTGAGCTTCAATCCATACTGGAGGCTGCAGTCCTTGACCCTCTGCAGCAAGCACTTCAGGTCCTCCTCAGTTTCAGCAAGCAGGGTTGTGTCATCTGCATAACGCAGACTGTTGATAGATCTTCCACCAACCTTGACCCCACATTTCTCCTCATAGAGCCCAAAGTAAAGAAAACTTAAAGACAACAAGAAAAATTGGGAAAACTTATTGCCCAAGAGTCCATTTCAACCCATAGCAATCCTCTGCTGGGCTTCTTTTCTGGTTTTTGGTTGTTTTTTTTTAATTTATATGTTAATGAAAGTTTATAGAGAACTTGGGTTTCCATTTATTCATTGTTACACATTTTCCTCCTTGCCCACCCCCTCCTCCAGTTTGCTTTTCTCTTTGAAAAAACAAAATCTTTCATTTTTGTACAATCTCCAACCCCTACCCCTGTCCACTTTTCAGCTTTTATTCTGGACTGTTGTCATGCAAATAATATCTGATCATATATTCCTTTAAGCATTTCTATTCCTCATCTCTTCCAATGCAGTATACATTATTTAACTCCTCTTTTCTTAGTTTCCGCCCAACCCTCATGTCAGTCCTGTTTTAGAACAGTGGCATTATGCAATATTTATTTTTTTTGTGACAGAGATATTTCACTCAGCATAATGTCCTCCAGGGTTACTCATTTTGTATAATATTTCATGAATTCCTTGTTTTTCAGTGCTGCATAGTATTCCATTGTGTGAATATACTAGAGCTTCTCTAGCCATTCGTTTGTTGATGGACACTTGAGTTGTTTCCATCTCTTTGCTATTGTGAACATACTCTGTCATCTTTATTCATTGTCCAACTTTCAGATGCATAGGAAGTAATTGAAAAGACCATGGCTTGGATCAGGTACACCTTACTCTTTAAACTAACATCCTTGTCCATTAGTACTTTAGAGATTAGGACTAAATTAAATAGAGCATCCGTGCACTTAGCACAGACCACACACAACCCCCACCGAGTCAGATAAAGCTCTCAGTAAAGATAGCCTCTGTGTAGTGAAATAAGCACACCAAGGATCGAGGTTGATACAGTTCTGTGATTTAGCCCTTAGTTTCCTTAGAGCTGAAGCAAAATTGAAGAAAAGGCTTTAACTTTCTTACTTTCTGGTGTGAAAAAGCGTACTGGGATTTCAGAAGGTGAGTTTTTCTTCTCTCGTCCTAAGTTCTAAGAGGAATTACCACCTAAATCTTTATTTAAATGAAATTGAATATCAAAAGAACATAACAAACAATATCTTCAAGGGTTAGCAGAGATGACCTGCCTGCTCGTTCTTCACATAGCCTTTTCTCTAATGATCCTCTGTCAAGGCCAAGAATATGGCTTTGAAGCATTATTAAAAACATAGAAACTATTTGTTTTCCTTTATTATACCACTCCCCACCTAAGTGTCCTTTCTTCCTATTTCTATCTAGTTCCCTTTGCTGCCTGCTATCTCCTCTGCATTAACCTGTTGGCATTCTTCTCTTCATTCCCCCTACAATTTCCCTTCTCATGTCCTGGTGCTGTCTCAGAATGACTTTGCCTGATGGAATATTCTTCAGATTCAGAGAGCTTTAGGATAATCAACTTTTTAGAGTACTTATTTTCCAGAGTAATTTAAAAATTGAACTCTTACATTATTTTGGCTAGTGGCTTAGGTTCTCCCTTACATAGAAATGCTGTGTGTTCCCAGTAAATTGACTATGAACCGTTGATGAGAGGCACACAGGAACTCTAGTTTCATACAAGGACTAAATACTTATGTATGTGTAGAAATTCTGAAGGCACTCTCAGCCTAATTCTGGATGACTCTTTGGCTTCAACTTTTGAGACTTTTTTTAAAAAGACAAAACAAAAACTCTTGAAGCCAAAGGATATAACGTGGACTAAGCTATCGGTTGTTGGGTGGAATACAGTTCCCACTCTACTCCAGTTGATCACTGTCATGAGGAAGTAGGAAGTCACTGTATGCAGATCTTATGATCTTACAAGAAAAGCTAGAGTCTGCATTCTTAGGCAGAACTTTCTAATATTTAAGACACAAGAACTCATTGCTGACCCTCTTAGCTGACCCCCCATTCCCATCCAAGTGGGTTTTCAGAGGCTGTTACAAATCACGTGGAAGAAGCCTGCCTATAATGCCTCTGTGGCACCACTCACGGATTCTAACTGCCAGAGAAATTCCCTTTTTGACTTAGCAGCATGATGCCCTACTGACTACTCTGAAAACCCACCAGAGATCAGCTGTGAGTCCCTGGTGACACAATGGCAATGAACAACAAATTGTAAATAGAAAACTGTTAAACAACAAATGTTGTATTGCATATGTTTAACACATAGAAAAGATTTTTATTAAAAAATTGTTTTAAAAAATTAGTACATACAAAACAACACATAGAGGACCCCAGCTGGCATCTCTTATGTCAGATCTCTGTTTGCTGTAAAAGACCGTAATTTTGCTTTGAAAATCCACTTGCTTTAAACACAAGCTCTAGTGGGCCTGTGCTACAATCCCAAAGGCATGATGTTCGAATCCACCAGCTGCTCCACAGGAGAAGAACGAGTAATCTCCTTCTGTGTGACTCACTGCCTCTGAAAAGCCCCTAGAGGGTCAGCTGTGGATGGGTCCTGGCTCCACAGCACATAACAATAACTGGCTTTGAAAGGCTACAATCCTATTGAGGTAAATTGAAACTAATTATATACATGTGTTGATTTCTACTCATGGTGACCCTCCAGCAAGTTTTTAAGGCTCTAAATCTTTATGGAGGGCAGCCACCCATCTTTCTCCCACAGAACAGCTGGTAGACTTGACCCACCAACATTTCAGTTAGCAGCCACCAGGGCTACTTGAAGACGAATAGCTACTTCAAAAATAAAACAGACCCAAGTAATTGACTTGCCGTTATGCTTTTTCTAGATTTCATTGCTTTTTATTTGGCTGCTGACGGTTTGTTGTTGTTAGTTGCTGCTGAGTCGATTGTGAAGAGTGGTGGCCCTTGTGTGTAGAATAGACCTGCTCCATGAGCTTCAAATATTAAGTGCTGGACTAGTGGCCCACAGGTTGGTAGTTTAGATCTATTCAGCATCACTTCTGGTCAGTCTGCTTCCTAAGGGTCAAGCCATGAAAACTCTATGAAGCAGTTGTACTTTGCAGACATGGATTCCCTATGACTTGGAATCAACTTGACTGCAACTAACAACAACAAATGAAGGATTGTTTACCCTGGGCCAGATGACAATTTCTCATCTTAAACAGTCAGGGGCAATGTCCATCTCTCTTGCCTGCTCTAAACACAGGTCTCTCTGGTGCGGGGAAAACGACAATAAGTTTTGCCCTGGAAGAGTACCTCGTCTCCCATGCCATCCCTTGTTATTCCCTGGATGGGGACAATGTCCGTCACGGCCTGAACAAAAACCTGGGATTCTCTCCTGGGGACAGAGAAGAAAATATCCGCCGGATTGCTGAGGTGGCCAAGCTGTTTGCAGACGCTGGTCTGGTCTGCATCACCAGCTTCATTTCTCCTTTTGCAAAGGTAAAGTGATTGAGCCCTTCCCATGATTCCCATGCCCAGCAGGACTGCTCTCTCCACGGGGCCCACAGAGATGGGGGGAGCAAAAGGAATGTCATTTCCCCCCACTTCTTCTTCCTTTTCTCCCTCATTTCCTCTATTTCATACTGGTTATATAAAGTGAGTTCCTTCATTTCCGTAGGCCAGAGCATAAACCTTTTCATGTGCACGATTATAAAGCGCATTTGGCCAGAGTTGAAAGGAGGCAAAAGTTAAACAAGAACCATGCAACAACTTGGCAGTTTCAATTCTCCACGTTCTCTGTAGGAGCACAGTGTTTAGTTCTAGAAAGAAAAAGAACCATTTGCTGCCAAAGTGGCTGGGTTCTGCATGTTGTTGTGTTGAAGTCGCTAAGGCTGGGTTTTCCTAATCTTGTTTCGACACAGGAAAAGTCTGTGGACGACAAGTATACATGCTTTGAACACATTCCTTGAATAGAATGCTCCTTGAGAGCTATGTTTATGAGAGCAATAGCTCTGAACTTTGTTGAAAGGACCAGATTACCACGGCCTCTGCAGGGTTAGCAAACCCCAAGTGTGATCTTAAAGCTACTGAATACTAGAGGATAGCATTGTGTTTCAGAATTCCCTTTGAGGCGCCTTCTAACAGGCTCGGCATCTTTTCCAGGATCGTGAGAATGCCCGCAAAATCCACGAGTCAGCGGGACTGCCATTCTTTGAAATATTTGTAGATGCACCGCTCAACATTTGCGAAAGCAGAGACGTGAAAGGCCTCTACAAACGGGCCCGAGCAGGGGAGATTAAAGGTACTGGAAGCGGCTGGTGGCACTTCTACCAGTCACTTCTGCTCTGCGCCTTCCTTCTTCCGCCCCCAGAAATCAGTTTGAAGCTTCTAACGGTGTGAATCCAAGCCTGCACAAAGTTTTCAAAAGCTGTTTTCCAGAGTTGAATGTAACATAACATACATTTTTATCAGATTCTAATGCATTCAACATGTCCATGGTTTGTTGAAATGTGAGCCCATATTTTTAAAGCTTCTCAGCCGAAAGCAATATAATTCAGAGAACCAAAATGGATATGTATATATGAATGTTCACAAAATGGTGCTGCCGAGGTTTTTACATCATCTTTTTTCAATTCTAATCAGCTGCAGGGGGCCTGGACTTAGCTAACCAGGTTTTTTCAATAACATAAAGCTTTCGATATTTCATAACGTGAAGCTGCCTGTTTTCTCACCTATGACTCGAGGTCAAAGATTATTTTTTTTTACTTTTTCTATTATAGTCTGAATTCTCAGTTTAACAGATTATTTCAGCAGGTGTTATGCTTTATTGATTTAAAGCCTGTTCTGCCCCTTTGCCTTATTGCGTCAAAGCAAGATGGGTCACCAGCTGCTCGACCGGAGTCACATGCAAAAATTTGGCCAGGCTTCCTATTATTGCCATGTGTGTTCACACTGGCACAGTGATTCGGAAACATGACCTCCGAATACGTCGTGCATGTACACAGGATAGAGGAGTCGTTAAGTTGGGTTAAAGAAGCAACTCTGGAGCCCTAAGGGTAAGGAGTTGTGCTACCAACTCAGAGACAGGTGGTTTGAATCCATTAGTGAGAAAAGGTGGCAAACACGTTCTGTGTCATTTACAACCTCTGAAAACCTCAGCTCCGAGTTCATTCCTTCTTAGTGCATAATAATAACAAATGGCTCAAATCGTTAAATATTTAGCTGCTAATCAACAGTTCAGACCCAACTAGCTGCCCCCTAGGAGAAAAAATATGGAACTCTGTTCCACTACCTGCTTCCCTAGAAAACCCTATGGGGCAGTTCTGTCTGTCACGCTGGGTAGAATAGACTCAAACACATCCAACAAGAAGTGACCATCCTAAATGGACTGCTCCAATGCAATTAAAGAAATGATGCAAGCTCTTTGTGCAGAGCATTTAAAAAATTTTAATTAAGTGGCAAGAAGCTGCACTGCAATCACAGAGGCGCACAGTTCGAATCCACCAGATGCTCTACCAGGGAAGAGGGACAATCACCTCCTGTACCAGTCAGATCTGATTTGATGGTACACACACAAAAAAAATAATAAAATTAAAAAAGAGAAAAAAATCTTTAAAAAAAAATAGAAACAGGGATTGCTCTGCCTGCAAAGATTTGACTTTCATGCTTATTGTTGTTTGCAGGGTTTACTGGTATTGATTCTGATTATGAGAAACCTGAAACCCCGGAGCTTGTGCTTAAAACCAACTTGTCCTCCGTGATTGACTGTGTCCATCAGGTAGTGGAGCTTCTGCAGGAACAGGTGCGTGAGGTTGTCCTTTCCCTTTAGAGAAAATAGTTACTGAGGTGACAACTTACCATCTGTTCTTTGAAGTGTTCTTTTTATAACTGTCATTTCAAGTTGTTACCATTTGTGCCTCATTTCAGAATATTGTGCCCCATACTACAATCAAAGGCATACATGAACTCTTTGTGCCAGAAAACAAACTTGACCAAGTTCGAGCTGAGGCTGAGACCCTCCCTTCGTTGTCGATTACTAAGGTAAAAGCATGCAGGAGAAATGAGCTGAATACTGGTCATGACAATCCACTGGAGAATCCCTGAAGAATGCAAATGATTCATGCACTTAGCTGCTAACCAAAAGGTTATATTTATCCTGAGACCCCATGGAAAAAAGGCCTGGTGATCTACTCCAGAATAATCAGCCATTGAGAAACACTCGTGAATCAGAGTTGTACTGTGACTCACGTGGGGTCAGCTCAGCAGCAACTGGCTGGTTTACACATGCATTTACAGTTGTTCTTAATAATAACGAAGGTATGAATAAGGAAACTGCAATGTCAAAAGGGAAAAAAAACTTGCCCCAATTTTTCTTCTTTTCCAATAAAAATCTCTCACAATGAGTTACCACAAGGCAGCTGGTCAATGCCATGCACAGAAACAGCCTGGAAAAGAAATTTCTATATTTTTATAGAAAAAATAATTTATATCATTATACCTTTCTTGGGAGAAATAAAAGCTATCTCCTCTCATACAATTTCTAGCCTTAGAAACCCAATGGAGGGTCACCTCAGAGTCTTCCAAATCATTGGTAATGAGAGATCATTCTACCTTTAGTTATCCTCCAGGACAGTCTTCAGACAATTATTTGTGGCAACAGCTAAGGGATACAGTTTATTTAGAATGCAGGTACTTCTGAGCAATTGAGAATGAATAAAAAGTAACTTTAATCTAAAGTGCTATGAATGCCTTGATCTGTTGTTGTTGTTATGTGCTGTCGAGTGGACTGTGACTCATGGTGTTGTTGTTATGTACCATCGAGTCATTTGCGACTCATAGCAACCCTATGTACAAGAGCTCTAAATGCTGTTCTATCCTGTGCCAACCTAGCCATCTCAAATGCATTTATTCCCACCACTCCAGTCACAGAATTGATCCATCTCATTGAAGGTCTTCCTCTCCTTCACCACCCCTCCACTCTCCCAAACATGATGTCCCTCTCCAAGGACCAGTCCCTCCTTGCAACATGCCCAAAGTATGTCAGACGAAGCCCCAGAATCCCCGACTCCAAGGAGCATTCCGGCTTCATCTTCTCCAGGACGAACCTGTTTGTTCTCCTAGCAGTCCATGTATATTCAACACTCTTCTTGTGACTCATAGTGACCCTATAAAGCAGAGCTGAACCTTGCTCTATCCTGTGCCAGCCTCACTATCTCCTACACACTCAAACCCATTGCTACAGTCATCCATTGAGGAATGGACTTGTACCTGCCCCTCCAGTAACTTTCAGAGGTTGACTGTAGAGATGATAGGAAAGACTTCACAGCAGTGACCTATGAGTTAGGTGTTAAAGGATGAACAGCATTTTGCTAGTGGAGTAAAAGATGGGGTTTAACACAGATTTTTTAACAACATGGATATGCCCCCTGCTGAGAAGCAGAAGATGGTGCCCCAAGGGCTAGTTTGCAGAACTTTCAGTATCATGCTAAGAATTTTTCACTTCTTATCTTAAAGACACTGGGTTGCCCAATTCCATCAGTTAGCCAGTACTGACTAACCAGCAGGGAGCTCTGGTGACCTCAGATCCACGCTGTCAACACAAACGCAGGCAGTTCAAATTTGTCAGCTGCTCCAGAGAGAAAGATGGGTGGGTGGTCTCCTCAAGTGCAATTTACAGTCCCTGAAAATGCACTTGAGTGTCAGCTTTTAGTCAGTTCCAACTCGGCAGCGGTGAGTAGAAAGAGTAATTTTTTATGGGATAAAAATGAATAAGCAACTCATTGTAAAACGCAGTTGCAGAAGATCATTATAGCATAAAGTGTGCCAATAAGTCATTTAAAATCTTTTTACCACTCTCTCATAAGAAGGTTCTAGACTAAAGCCTTTCTGGCCTTTGCATCAGCATAACGTATGGGAATACTTAAAACACAGATTCTATTCTTACTGCCCTATCAGCTGAACAAGATAGGACTGCCCCGCGCCAGGCGCCTGAAAAGCAGAACTTAGGAAACTATTCACTTGTCTTTCCTGTTTTGCAGCTGGATCTCCAGTGGGTCCAAGTTTTGAGCGAAGGCTGGGCCACTCCTCTGAAGGGGTTCATGCGGGAGAAGGAGTATTTGCAGGTTCTACACTTTGATACGCTCCTAGATGGTATGGTTGTTTGATTTGTTACTCTGTATTATTAGAGGGGAAAACAGAAAAAAACAAACTTTCTCAGAAATCTGCACTACAACAAGAAGTGTTATTACATAGTTCATCAACCTTATGAAAATATTTTAGGTCATTAGGTCCCGTTCTATGATGTGGAAGCTTCCAGTTTTGGGAATGTTTGGTTATTCTTGAAGGAGTATTTAAAATTACAGGAACTGAGAAAGGATGTTTTTCCCTGCGTACCAAACCAAGAGATGTTTAAATCTGTTCCCTTCCTCCCACCCTTTGCTGCCCTTGATGTTCATAAGTCACCAAACAGAAGCATTCTTGCTCTCTCCACCAGAGAATCATCAGGGCCCTCAGAACTGATGAGCTCAGCACACGCTCTAGGTTCCTAACAGAGACAAGCATTGCAGTAACTACTTCCTTTGGTGGATGCTGATGCCACAATGCCCTTACCCAAAACACAGTGGGGTGGCTTCACCCACTCAGCTCTAACAGGGGTGCCTTAAGGGAACTGTCCAAGTCCAAGCTGGGTGGCTGCTACAAAATTGACCTGGTTAAGGACAGAAGCATGTTTTCTTCAGAAAACTTCCTTTCTATAATCATGTCCTTCCTAGAACTGCCTGAGGTTATCAAATGCAATTAGGCTATTTAAAAAATCTTAGGGGACCTCTGCAAAGAAATGGGGGTGGGGGTGGAGTTACGCTGAATTTCTAATATTAAGCAAGGCTCCAATCTTTTGGGAAGCAAAATCAGATGTTCTTTCTTGGAAAAGATGAGGTTGCTTTGGCTTTGTGCCTCTGCCTAGAAAGTGGAATTTCAAGCCAGAATCAGAGCTCAAAGCCTGGTAAAAATGGGCCCTCTTCCCATACTCCACTGCTGCACTTGATAGTGTCCCATGAGTTGAGATCTGATTTCTCACTTTAAATAGCATTCCAGAAAGACTCTTTGTTTCCTTGTAGCTTAACAATAAGTTATTCGTTTCAATATGGCACTTCCTTATGTGTACTGCGTTGTATCTGGTAGTATGCATTCAAGCCACACAAATATATGTATGAATTCTATCTATGTAGTGATTCTGGGATGCATAAATATTTCAGAGCATTTTGTTTCTATACTTTAGCTTAAAGACTGGCTTGGAGAGACTTTGGAAGTGGTCTTAACAGCACATGTTTGCCAGGGCCAACTTCTTGCTAATATTGGAGGGGCTATTGACATAATTATTTTACAAACTGATAGGCCTCTAAGCAGAGCTCTCAGACTACCTTGAACCATAGTTGTTGTTGTTTTAAAAAATCTGATTTCACCCGGCTATTGCGGTCATAGAGATCTAAAAATAGCAGTAACAAAGAACTCAGTATGTTTGTGTACTGTATGTTTAAAATTTCACAATTAGAATTTGTTCCTTACCATTGTTGCTTTAAAATTATTTTTTTTAAAAAGATTATTTTAGTGGAGAGCTGAAAACATGTTTCTTAATTGTGTTTGTATTTCTCTAGGCATGGTCCTTCCTGGTATGTACTTTGACAACTTTCCGAGTAGTTATATTGTTATAATTAGATATGTTGCGTTAATTAGGAATGGCCAAGAATGTAACTCAAAGCAATCTAAATTAACCAGTTGAAATTGGTAACCAGCTCATGATCCAACCAGTTAGAAAACTACATTTACTATAGTTTGTGCCAAAATTATATTTGTTGATTGGACTTTAAATAAATAGGAAATATCTAAATAAGATGCCACTGTTGCTTATAATGTGGCACTTGGCTGACAAAAGTAAATTTGCTTCTAAAGTATTGTTCCACGTTCTCTCCCTGACATTCTTTAAATTTATGGTCCTTTCCACTGACTTCTACCATTGGATTGAGAGGTCTTTCTCACAAAACTGGAAGTTTGAGGGTTTTTTTCCTCTTTATTGAGTTTACAAAACACTTCAAATTGATCAAAAGAAATCAACTTAGATGCATCTGGTTGGATTGTGCATGATTTTCCTTCATTTGTTTGCAAAATGTGATTATGCATGAGTTTAATTTCAAGCTATTGCAATAGATAGTTGTGGAACTGGGAATAAGCATACCCTTGCTGTGACTGTACAATTCTGCGTTGTACCAGGATGAAAAGGTAAAATTCATTAATCTTTGGTATTGTTTTCTTCCACTAAAAAGCCTAGTTAATAATAAAAGAAAAACAACAACAAAGCCAAGCTTATGAACTGCCTTATGGTCCAGCAATCCCACTGATAGGTGTATACCCCAAAGATTTGAAAGCAGAGACTCCAAAGAGAGACTCACTCTCCAGTATTCTCTGTAGCACTATTCAGAATAGCTGAAAGGTACAAACAACCTGAACGTCCATCAACTATTAAAGACACAAACAAAATATGGTACACACATACCGTGGAATACCAGTCAGCCAGGAGGAGAAGTGAAGTCCTGATACATGTGGCAGGATGGGGCTTGATTCAAATAAGTCAAGCACAAGATGGCAAATATTGTTTGACTCAACTTACATAAAAAGACAAGAAAAGGCAAATGTATTGACTTCAAAGTTAATGGTGGTGAAAAAATAGCACTGATTATTATATGACTAATTACTGCAATTCTTGTCAAGAATATGTACTCTTATAGAAAGCTGAATTGGTGAAAACTATATGATATATTCAGGGGGAAAGAGAGGAATAGCTGCGTATGTACAGTCAGACACCTTGTGGTAGTTGGTTCCTCGGTTTGGTAGTTTAGAGGCATAATGTCATGGGATCACCCAATTGATTGGCCAGATATTGTGTTTAGTTCTTCTGTTCTACCTCCTAGTTCATTGTGTAGTGCTTAAAGTCTTAAAAGCTTACAAGTGGCCATCTAAAACACAATGGTTCTGTATTTATTGGACACAACAGAAGACTAAGAAAAGTCAGAAAGAGGAGGATTTGAAATGTGATGTTAATTGCCTCCATGAACTGCCTCCTGTCCTATGAGACCAGAAGAACCTGCTCCAATACCATGACTGAACATGGTCGAAGATTCCATAGGAGAATCCTAATCAAAAGGGAATACAATGTAGAACAGAATTTCAAAGCCTTCTGGACTCTTGATTCCCTGGGGCCATGGTGGGTAAAGCAACTGGTGAAACTATTGCCCGTAACAATAGTCACAGATGATTTTTAACCTGTAAAAGTAGCCCCTGAAATCTTAAAATCAAATAATAGTTTAATTTAACTAATAAGGGTGAAAAATTGCAATATGCTTTCTTAAGAATTGTGTGGGATCAGATTGACAACAGTAACTTGAAAAATTAGATAGGAATCTTAAGGGGTGATACATTTATGTACAGTGGGGGAGATCCACTCAGAAAAGGAGAGTGAGAATGAGTTATACAACTTGAAGGATGTAAGGAGTCACTAAATTGAAACTGTTAAGGGGGGAAGAAACTATTGAGTTGGTGTGTATTTTGCTGTATATATATCCTCAGCAATAACCAAATAGATGACATTTTTAAAAAATTCTAGTTAAGCAATAAAAAGCCATTTATTTCTTGTATAGTTGTTGATGTTGTTGTTATGTGCCGTCGAGTCGCCTGCGACTCATAGCGACCCTATTTCTAAATAACAGATAAGCAGATCAAGAAGCCAAAACCAAAATAAAACAAAACAAAAACTCGCTTGAGAATGGTTTAAACCAAAACCAAAGTGGTTAGTTTTAACTGTGGCTAGAAATAACATGATACTTTTCCAAAGTGAGATTAGGAGACAATAAAACCATCAAACTTGGTTCCTGCCAGAGCAGACACACACAAAACAAGAATGAAACAACACAGAACAAGAATAAAAGCCCAAGTCAGTATCCAGAGCCCTGAAGGAAGTTTCCAGACAGGATGAAATCATTGGATAAATTTGTGTGCCAAAGAGTTGATAAAGATGATAGGAACCACCATAAATCTGCTTTTACCTCTGCAGCATTGTAGCCACGGGGGTGTAAAATCAGCTGGCATTATAAATCAGTAGAACCTTTCTTGGTAACATCCCACAGATTAGCTCTTTTCTGGTAACAACCTGCCAGGCAGCAAGTGTAGTTTCCTCATTTCAGATGTTCACTCACGCCAAGGTGAAGGTGAATCAGAGGTTACATTGCAAGAGCCTAGCTGACTGGAGGAGGTAAAGAGGAAGGAAAGAAAGCAAAGGATTCCTTGGATTTCCACTTGGAATGATGGACAAAAGATAGTCCTCCGGGCATGTTGTTGCGGGCTAGGCTTCCTTCAAGCACCTTGCCTCATCTTCCACTTGACGTTCATTTTACTTTCTTTTGGTCAATATACCCGCCCCTGCCACCCCCTCCCCGCAACTAAGGAATCCAACAACATTGCCTTTTCAGCAGCTTGTCCGATGAGCAGGATTTCTAGTTAGACCATCAACATCCTTCGTGGTGCTAGTTGTTAGTAGCTGTTGCCCTTTTCTCAACTAGACTGGAGTGGCTTTGATTCTCTTTAATCATAAATTAAGCGTCCTTGGAGATGCAGCAGTTAAACTGTCTACTAACTAAATCTGTCCAGTGACTCCACCATGAGGACAGAGAGCGTGGTGGGGCTCCCTGATTAAAACAAGCTTGGAAGGAGGAGTGGCATCCACTTCCGTAATAGCTTGCCTCCAGAAACCCTATGAACCTGGAGAGAGGATGAGAGACACCCAAGCTTTGAGGACTCTCCTTCATAGGGTCACTGTAAGTCACCTGCACTTAACAACAACAACAGTGACTCCACCAGAGATGGTAATCTGTTCCTGTAAAGATTTTGCTGTTGTTGTTGTTAGGTGGCTGTCAAGTTGTGTGCTACTCACAGTGACCCTAGGGACAACAGATCTGAAGCGTGCCCTTTCCTGCACTGCCCTCATGATCTCGCCAAGCTCATCCCAGTCACTGTGTCAGTCCACCTCCTTGAGAGCCTTTCTCTATTTTGCTGACATACCTTTTCCAGCATTATGTCTTATTCCAAGGATGGGTCCCTCCTGACAACATCCCCAAACATATGAGACTATGTGGTTGTGCTTCCTCCAAGACAGATTCATCTGTTCATTTGGCAGTTCATTTGGTATATTCTTTGCCAACATCAAGAGCCAAAGGCACCTAGACTATCTTATGGAGCAGTTGCAGTTTGTTATTCGCTGTGACTATGAGTCAGAATGAACTCAAGGATGCTCAACAGTAACTGTCCTTTTCTCTCCTGTGCATTCAGGTGACATTGTCGTGGGCTAGAGAGATGATTCCAAGTCATAGTTTCCTTAGAGGACAGACTCCCACTGGCCCAGAGGGTTTCAGAGCCTGTAATCTTGACGTGAGCAGGCTGCCAGATCTTTCCTCCTTTGAAATGACTGCTGGATTCAAAATGACAACTTTTTAGCTAGCAGCTGAGTGTTTAGTTCCCGTGCTACACAGCACCGAACAACCATCATAAACTTCCAGTGGTAGTGACCTTTCCAGCCTGCCTCATCCCAGAAGCTTACTACCGTCAGATCCGTCCTGGCTCTTGGCATCTTCCTGTGCAACAGAGAAGAATCTGCAGGATTCTCAGCAGATGATATTTTTTGATATCGAGCTTTTATAAATAAGAAAGCTTTCCCTTAGTTAACATACTTACATTTTTAATATTAAATGTGATAAGATGCTCAATAAGCCCACATGTTTATTAATGTACAGTCCAGTCCAGTTTTGGCCTCTTGAATGCAAATGCTTGCTGTATATTTCTATTTTGATAGGCCAGTGTCAGATTACTAGCTATTTTTAAAAGGTAACTATGTTTGAAATCTTTTTATCATTAGGGCATTACACCTTTTCCAGAACAATTTACAGAAATTGCACAAGGTAACTTTTATCAAATTATGACATTTTAGCAATGTTTTGTTTAGCTGCCATGTTAATTTCTGTTGTAAAAACTATCTTTAGGTAAAACACACACACACACACACAATCAGAAATCTTATTGACGTTAACTTGCTTTAACAAATGTCCAAAGAGATCTTCTTCAGGGGGGGACTTGAACCTCCTACTCTTTGGTTGACAGCTGAGCCTGTTCACCATTTTCATCACCCCTGTCCCCAGAAGTTCACAACCCAGGGAGATACAGATAATTTATTATTCTATTTTTCAAGTGAGGAAACTGAACTTAGAAAAATGGAATGACCCAGGTCATAAGGAAAGGACTCCTGACTTTTTTAGAATATGCCCTGCTCAGGGTGTGGGCTGTTTTATTGCTTATAAACTTGGCAGCAAAAAGTTAATTGAATGAGAAAACCTATTAAAACATTACATTTTGTGCACAGTTGCTTTCTTATGGCTTATAAAACAAAGCAGGAGGCAGGATTTTATGACAGATGAGAAGTCTTTATTGCTGGCAGTTGCTGTTTATATCCGGTGGTACTTTTTAGGTTCTAGTAATGAATAAGTAAACTATCACCAAGATGGATTGAAATAATGACTGCAGCAATGTGTTCAAGTATGTCAGAGATTACAGGCATGGCGCAGGGCAGGACAGGGTTCAGATCTGTTGTCTGTAGAGTCACTCTGAGTGATATTCAAATTGATAACATCAACAATAGTTAACGTATGGAAGGAGCTCTGGTGGAGTAGCATGTTACGTCTTGGACTTCTGACTACATGGTCAGCGGTTCAAATCCAGTAACTGCTACTTTAAAGATTTTTCAGCATCAGAAATGCTATAGAGGGCTACTGTGAGTCGGAATGATGTTGACAAACAGTGGGTTTGGGTAGATCTCGTACTCATGAAGAGTCTTTAAAAGGTGTCAAGTGATATGCCTGGAGAATATGGGTTCTAGAGATTCTGGGGATGGCTCAGACTACTTCTGTTCTCAGAAATAGAACTCAGAACTTGATCTCTACCAGTGGCATCCTAAATGTTTTACATTGAAAGTTGTGTTGCAATAATTTCATTATTCCAAGGTACCTTTCCTCAAATCCGTAAATAGTTTTGTTTCCTCTGGAGTTGAATGTTTTCTTCATTTGCCTGTCTTATGTCCCCTTTTGGGTCTTACACATAGGAAGTTCCCCAGAATTGTCCCAAATATGACTTTATGTTAAATAATTAACTGTGTGCCCCAGTTTTCTCTCTTTTAAGTGCAACTGAGAGATTGACACATTTGTCAGAATGTTAGGGCACCATTACAAAAGAGGGAAGAGGACACAACAGTGTAATTACTGACTTTTATAATATGTGGAATTATTAAGAAATGAGCTATTTCCAGGAAACCAAATTTTAACTTTTGAGCCCCTATATAAAAAACAAGTATTCTTTTTAGCCATTTTTCCAGAAACATTTTTCACCTATTGTCAAAAAAGGAAGACGATTTTTTAAGTGAATATATTTTATGCAATGTAGTATTTTTAATGACTATACTTGGACCAGGAGACAGTCATCAGAACAGAGCAAGGAAACACTGCATGATTCAAAATTGGGAGGGGTATGCTAGGGATGTGTCCTATCTCCAAACCTTTTCATTCTATATGCAGAACTGATTATCTGGGAGGCTGGGATCTAAGAGGAGAAATGTGGCATTAGGATTGGAGGTAGACTCATCAACAATCTGCGTTACGCAGATGATACAACCCTGCTTTGCTGAAACTGAGGAGGACCTGAAGTGCTTGTTGTTTAAGGTCAAGGACTGCAGCCGTCAATATGGATGGAAGCTCAACGTCAAGAGAACAAAGATTCTCACCACTGGACTGATTGGCAGCATCATGATAGATAGTGAAGAGATTGAGATTGTCAACAGCTTTAGTTTGTTTGGCTCCACAGTCAACACTCTTGGTACCAGCAGCCAGGAAATTAAAAGGCGAATTGCATTGGGAAAGTTGGCTGTCAGAGACCTCTCCAAATTACTGAAGAGAAATTATGTCAGTCTGGAGACTAAGGTGCACCTGATCCAGGCCATAGTCTTTACAATTACTTGCTGTGCATCAGAAAGCTGGACATGACTAGGGATGATAGAAGGAAAATTGATGCCTTTGAGCTGTGATGCTGGAGAAGAGTATTGAATATACCCATGGACTGCCAGGAGACTAATCAAGTTTGTCCTAGAGAGAGAAACTAGGCTGCTCCTTGGAGGCAAAAATTCTGAAGCTTCATCTGACATACTTTGGACATGTTGCAATACTTTGGACAGTCCTTGGAGAGGGCCGTCATGCTTGGGAGGGTGAAGGGACGGCTCAAGCGAGGAAGACCCTCGATGAGATGGATTGATTTAGTAACTGGGGTAATGGGGATAGGTGTGTTGGAGACAGTGAGATATCGCGTAGGATAGAGCAGGGTTTAGGGTTACTGTCCATAGGGTAGCTTTTGAGTTGTAGATTATTCGACAGTACGTAACAACAACAAGAACCCATTATTAAGGGAGCTCTGGTGGCCTAATGGTAAGAAGTTGCACTGCAATTCTAAAGACACATTGTTCTAATCCACCAGAAGCTCTGCGAGAGAAAGACTGGCAATGTCCTCCTGAGCCTCTGAAAACCTGACAGAGGGTCAACTATGGGTCAGTTCCTACTCTATGATACACAAGAAGAAGAATACATTATTAGGAATACCAGTTAGTAAGTTGGATTTTCACATGATGATCTTTCAGTCTCCATGGAAGAGCTGGCCCCTACTCTGAAGGAGCCCTGGTGACATAGTCTCTAGTACATTGAGCTACCAAGCCAAAGGACATGAGTTCAAATCCACCACCTACTCTGAGAGAGAAAGTCTGGCAGCCTCCTCCTACAAACATTTACAGATTTCAAAGGGTCACTGAGTCAGAACCAAGTCAGTATCAACGGGTTTGGTTTTGCAGTACTTCAAAGGGCACCCAACCCTTCATGCCACACACTCACTCTTGCTTCCCTCTGTCAGTTTCTTTAAAATCATTTTCCTGTCTTTGCAGTCAAGCAATCATTTGGCATATATTGCTGCCATAGATGTAACTTCCCAGCAGACACATTCCATACCTTTCACGTTCATTAGATTCTGTACTGAGAAATCCAAACACTGGTTAATTTAACTTTCTTTTATTAAAGAGACTCCAATGGTCATATGGGATGTCCACTCTTTGAAGGAGCCTTGTGCATTTTACTAAATGAACTTGCTGTTGTTTCCACCCTTCTACTTTTTGTTCTTAATGACAATTGAAAGAGCAAGACTTATGATTCCCAGGAAAATGACATGTTTAAATGTCACATTGCCTGTGGACCCTAGTGCACACATCAAACTCGGAGGACTACTTGGGTTTTGGCCTACAGTTAATGTTAACTGTCTTGCTTTTCTTTTTGATTCTATAAATTGGTGGATACAGATCAGAGCTTAAACAGAAGATAAAATAAGAGGCATTCTTGATATTGTTAAAAGGTTTCAAGCAAGACGAGAGGTTTTATTTTGGTTTATTTTGTTGTTGTTGTTGTTGTTATGTGCCATCAAGTAGCGTGCCACCCTATGTACAACAGCTCTGAAGCCTGCCCTGTCCTGAGTCAGTCTCATTGACTCCGACACACTTAGCGCCATTGCCCCAGGTACTGTTATCAATTAATCTCACCTGGGGTCTTCCTCCTTTATTATCCCTCCACCCTTCCAAGCATGAGGTCCTTCTACAAGGACCAGTCCCTTTTGTCCACGTGCCCAAATCTTACCAAATTTAATTTTCTTTAATTGGAGTTCTGAAGACTTTAAACTCCTTAGTGTATAGAGATGAAGATCAATTATTTAAAAGGAAACCAAGAGACAGCCCCCACTCCCTGCCTAAATAACTCAATGTATTTTCACACCTGCCCTGACCCCTGCCTTGAGAAGCCCCTCAAGAGCTTTCCATCCCTGACCACAAAGAAAATGGTGCAGCCCATGGACTCTGTTGGGTTTAGGTCTTACGCCTCTTGCAGAAAGTGTTTGGAAGGACACTGTGTGCCTTTGAGTCATCCTTAAAGGTCAGCCCATCTCGATAGTTGTGTTCAAGCCTCACTTGGTTCCTTCCACAGATGGAGTGATCAACATGAGCATTCCCATCGTCCTGCCCGTCTCTGCGGATGATAAGAAGCGCCTGGAAGGGTGCAGTGAGTTTGCGCTGGTGCACGCTGGACGAAAGGTGGCAATCTTAAAAGACCCTGAATTCTATGAGCACAGAAAAGAGGAGCGTTGTTCTCGCGTGTGGGGGACAACGTGTGAAAAACATCCCCACATCAAAGTAAGTTGTCAGAACCTTCAGAAGGGTCTTCTGAAATCTGTTTCAATTTTGGACAAAAAGAATTCTCTCCCCCCACCCTCTTTCCATCTAGGACATAGAAAAACTAGTATCAGATGGAAAAAATATATTTCTGAGGGTTGTTTTGCACACATTGCGTTGGGTAATCATTATAGAAAGGGGCAAAGAAATGTCCTTCTGCTTGAGGACTGCTCTAAGGGAGCCTCAGTCCTCTGATAATGTCTGGTCGACCTGACTATGGACAGATGACGTAGGTAATGTGGCCGAGTATCATGGGAGTAAGATGCAAATTACAAATTTAACTCAATTGCACAAGAAATGGCTATGCACAGAAACAAAGCCAGAGCTTGCAACCTTGTATGTTTTGAAAATGTACTAGGAAAGCCACTTTCTTCACACAGAGTGAACCCACAACCGTGAGGTGAGAACTCTGAGTACCTGGCCAGTTGAGGAAGGTCAACGACATCCATTCTGCAAACAGAAATCAGCACAGCTGGTCGCTGTTTTCAGAGGGAACACATAATGCCTTTGATGACTTTTCATTGTAAAAACTTCCATGAATATTGTTGTGATTGGGAGGTGGGGAAGTATTTGATTAGGCACATCTAGGACCTGCCTAACAGTAAAAAATGGACTCAAAGTCTTCAACTTCCTTTACCACATCTAGTTGGTGGTGCTGTGTGCATGGTGGAGGGGTATTGTGAAATTGCTGGGTGCGGTTCATTTCCCACAGAGCAAAAGGCATGTTGTACTGCGTTCAAAAACCATTCCACATTCAATATTAAACTGTCAGAGTGGGGCGGGGGAGGCATGAAATAAGGAGGCTTATACTATGAATTTAACTTGTCAAGTGCCTCAGCTGGACCAACAGAAATTAGTCGTTCTCAGTTTGTAAGGTTAGAAAGCTGTCGGAGGCCCAGGAAACTGAAGAATCGTGTGAGCTGACAAAGCCCCGCCTGTCTCCGAACCTCCGTTTCTGCTTGTCCGAACTCATTGCTGCTGAGTCAGAAGTGACTCAAACCTGGACCTTCAGTGGGTTTCCAAGGCTTTACATCGCAGGGGAGGAGACTCCCTGAGGAGCCACTGGTGGATTAAAATTGTTAGAAAGGCATGGCCTTTGCGTCAGCAATGTGACTTCCTACGGACTACAGGACTACGCCTCTTGAGTTCCTCTTTCTTCTCTTTTGAAAGATGTTATTCACGGTCATCAGGTTGCCGTGGGGGGGGGGGGGCGCTCCATACACCAGCTGCAGGGAATGCTGCCCAGTGGACTGTAGACCAAACCATCGTGACCCTCAGTGTTTTCATTAGCTGATCTTTGGGAGAAGATCACCAGGCCATTTTTCCTCATCCATCTTAGTCTGGAAGCCCCACTGAAACTTGTTCTGCATCATAGGAACACCCGAGCCTCCACTGAAAAGGGAATAATGGTATCAGAAGAGATAAAAAGTCTGAAGAGAATTGAACTTGGGTCTTTGGCAAGAATGCCAAAACTGAGCCATCAGTGTCTCACATAAAAGGAAGTGGCCACATTCAAAATCATTCTGACTCTTCTCCCAGCTCTGTTACACAACAGATTGGGTATTTGAATATTCTATATCCAGGCCTTTTCAGAAACTCTTGGGCAAAGTTGTGCATTGTCAATTTTGGCTGGTATTTTTTTTTTCAGGTCTGAATGTTCCTGTGTGGTGGTGTTGCCATGTGCAGCTGGGTCAGAACTGACTCATAGCTGACCCTCCAGCAGGCAAGAGAGGGGACTGCCCATATTTCTCCCTTAAAGCAGACAGTGGATTTGAACCACATGCCTTTGGGTTAGCATTGCAATTCCTTACCACTAAGTAATTCCTTACCATCAGGGATCATGTTCCAGTGGAGGAAGGGCCTTTTCAGCCCTGCTGGGCCCTCTTTATCTGGGCACAAGAGGCCAAGGGGCAAGGACAAAGCCATTTCCTCATTTACAGAACACAACTATCTATCCTGCAGATAGTCATCTTTAATGGCAAAGCACATCCAGATCAAAGTCATTCGACATTTTTCTTCAAGAGACTGTCAGAGTCTTTAAAAGTGCTAGACACAGAGATAGTGGAGGAATAGCATGTTCTGAAGCTAGCTATGCCTTTGTTCCAGCCTCTTCTTGACAGTAATTATATAGCTCTGGGATCTTATCTTTACCCGGTGACCCAACCCGAAAAATGTCCAGTATTGTATGTAGCATCCAAATCACAAAATAACTAGCACTTTAAAAAAAAAAAAGGAGATAAATGTTGTGAACAATAGGAACTGAGCGTTTCTTAGAAACCAGGAAGAGCAATGGCATGATTTGTGGCCTTGACAGTATCATCAGTGGCTAGTCCAGTAGGTCATTAGAGAAAAAAGCTGATGGGCTTTGGGCCTGGGATACACAGGAAGTAGGGCCCCCTTGGCATGTATGCACTACGTTTGGCCTTTGGAGGCGTATTTACCAAATGCATGATGCATCATCGTGTGTGTGTGTGTGTGTGTGTGTGTGTGTGTGTGTGTGTGTCTGTGTGTCTGTGAACTTGAAAACTCAGAGTAGTCCTTAAAAGTGGACTTGTTGTTTATAGGGTTGCTGTGAGTGGTAGTTGACTTGATGGCACCTAACAAGTCTTCTAAAATAAATCACGGGCCTTCTCATATTTCCACGTGGCACTGGGAGTGACATTTACTGGAGGATGGTGAGTGTCGAGGAAGTGGTTAGCTCCAGGCTGAAGGCACCCTTAGCTGGGCCGGGGTGGAAACATGCAGGCCTCCCTCTCCAGCCGCTAATAGGAACCAGGTGGCCTGATCTCCGGTGAAATCATGAGGAGGAGCAGGTAAAACTTGTAAAAAGCAAGCTTGGAGAAGCCTTGTTGCCTTTCATCCATGGCTCTCCAAGCTTCTCCAAATAGTAATTATTTCTCAGAATACTCTTGTGAACCAGCTAAGAATCATCACTGCCATTTTACAGATGCAGAAACCCACAGAACCAAGTAGGAGTTCCCAGCGAGGAAGGGCAGGAGGGAGAGTTTTCTCATCCTTTGGTCCCACAATGTTAGAATTGAATCACTTGGAGCACTTTATAAATGATTGATAACTGGTACCCAACCGAGCATATTCTGTATTATTTAGTTTGGGGTTTGGTCTGGACCCTGGGGATTTTAAGGCTATCTGATGACGTTAACGCCCGGCTAAGTCTAAGAACCTCTTTGGGTTGATTATTTGGAATATCCAGTTCTTTCCTTTGTGGTTCTGCCTAGACCTATCCTGTGAGCGCCTCAGACTCAACACACCTGGCTTATCTCTATGTCTATTCTAGCTCCGCGGTCTGATAGTGGCTGGTGTCTTCTTTCATATGTTGTATTCGTTTAACCAGGAAGTCCTGGTGGGTCTTCTTCCTAGGTATTTCTTGAGTTTGTTCACTTCCTTTTTCAGCCAGTGTGATATACTCAATCTCTACTTGGGAACTCCTCTGAAGACCTGACTCCATCTTGCCTCTTACTTAGTGTTGTATCTCAGATCTGTTGTTAATAGGGTGGCTTTGAGTTGTACACAGCTTGAGGGCACATTAACAGCAACACAATTCTTCACCACAATTCTTTTGCTTCCCCATCTTACTCACTCTGTTACCTTCCAATGGAAATCTGCCCTTCTGCTATGCCCTGTCAGGCCTGGCTGAATGCCTTCTCTGTACTGCCCAGTTTATTGTGTCTTCTTTTTTTTTCTTTCTTTTTTTTTATTATTGTGTCTTCTTGTAGTGTTATTACCCATTCACTCTTCTGCCAAACTACTTAGACCACCAGACTTGAGATCGATTTGTCTTGCCTTGCATAAAATCTCCAGCAGCAAGGCCAGGGCCAGTCACATAACTAATGCTGATAATAGACGATGGATGAAAGTCAGCATGGACACACTACTTAGAGGCAGCAGATACAGTGAGAAGTGTTTGCCTACAAGGAAGGAGTCCTGTGTGTGGATCCTGGCTTCAATTAGATGTCTTTGTGCACTTGAACCCTGCTACTTAACCAGCAGTGATGTCAGTTTAAAGACCCAAGTACTCATGATTCAAGGCATGGTCTTTTCAATTACTTGCTATGCATCTGCAGGTTGGACAGTGACTAAGGATGACCGGAGAAGAACTGATGTCTTTGAGCTGTGCTATTAGAGGAGTGAACAGAAATCCCATGGACTGACAAAAGAAGAAACAAATATTTCTCGGACAAAGTGCAACCAGGGTGCTCCTTAGAAGTTGGGATGACAGAGCTTCGTCTCATACTTTGGGCATGTTGTTAGGAGGGACCAGACCTTGGAGAAGGACATCATTCTTGGAAAGGAAGAGGGTCAGCAAAAGAAAGGAAGACCTAACACGAGATGGATTAACTGTAACAATTGGCTTAAGTATATCAGAGACGATGAGAGTAGCAGAGGACAGGGCAGACTTCCTATCCATTGTTCATAGACTTGCTGGGGGTTGTATTCACTCAGTGGCCACCTCATCTGCTAGGACTGTCTTGTCTTCTGCCAGTGAGAGCATTTAGTCCGCAGGACCTCCATGCTTCCTTACAGCTCCAGAATTCCGTGACTATGAGAGATAGAAAGGAATAGATATTCTCCACTTGGATCACTAGGCTATTTCAAAACCTATTCCTTATTCCTCTGGCAATGCTCCATTCTGCCAACTCCCTAGTTGTGCTTCCTCTCCTGCCTTTGATGAAAGGATTAAAGAATTCTAGCCCCAAAGCCCTGGGAAGCAAGGCAGAATCACAGGTACCCTTCCTGCTAGTTGGGTCACTGTTAAGGGTTGGGTGTGGAAGGCAAAATCTGTTCCTGTATCGCCTTTAAGTGTACAGGTTTATAGGCTGCACGGTAAACCAAGTTGGCTCACAGTGCCTTCCTTAACCAGTAGAGCAATGTAGGATAGACCCCTAGTGTCCAAAATTAATTACTGCATGACCAGGAATACTGTCTTCTGAAACTCTGGTGGCTTAATGGGTCAGGAGTTGCACTGCCTGTTTAAACTGAGGCAGTTAGAATTTACCAGCTGCTCCACAGGAGAAAGAGAAGCAGTCTCATCTTATTATATTTACAGCCTCTGAAAAGCTGCTGGAGGTCAGGTATGAATAGGCTCCAACTTGGCAGTGGAGAGCAACAATACATCCATGGTATAATGTGTTATGAGTTGGGCTGTTAGCTTTTATGTCAGCAGTTCCAATCCACTCCCACAGAAGAAAGAGAGACAGTCTCCTCTCTTAAAGATTTACAGCCCCTGAAGTCTGAGGGAGGGTCACCATGAATTGGAATCAACTTGATGGCAGTGGGTCCAATTCTAAGTAAAAAAGAACAAACTTTGGTGGTGCTGCTAACTCAAAGATTGGCAGTTCAAACCCACCCAGTGGCTTTGCTAAAGAAAGACTTGGAGATCTCCTTCTATAAAGATTACAAGAAAGCTTCATGCAGCTATTTTTTCTCCATCAGCTACGTCATGCACTATGAGTTAGCATGAGTATTAACAGTTTTCTTGTTCAGCCATTTCAGCGTCTCTCTGCTCTAGACTTTCTCAATCGCAGTACTGTTAATATTGGACCCAATGATTCCTTCTTGTGATGAACTCTTCTGTCTGTACCTTATGGATTGTTGGACATCTTCAACAGCAACCCAAGGTTGATCCAGAAGAGTTACACTCATGTTCAGATAAGATACAAATAAATATTAATCATTCCCAATGTTATTAATGTCTATTCTAGATGGTGATGGAAAGTGGTGATTGGTTGGTTGGTGGAGACCTACAGGTGCTGGAGAGAATAAGGTGGAATGATGGGCTGGACCAGTACCGCCTGACACCACTGGAGCTCAAACAGAAATGTAAAGAAATGAATGCTGGTACGTAGGCTGGCTCTGACTACTTTGTTCATAGGCATTATCACTGTCAGGGAGCTCGGGTTAGGGTTAGGGTTAGGGTGGTTTGAATCCACCAGCAGCTCTGTGGGGAAAAGATGGGCCGTCTCCTCCAGTGTCATTTACAGCCTGGAACACCCAAGGGAGCATCACCTATAAGTCAGCTCCAACCCCACGCCTGTGAATTAGAGTATTACTACCCTCAGAGCACTTCGAAAGCATGCTTTCTGATAAAGGATTATGGATATCAGGAAGCAACATTTTTTTCCTTGAATTAGAAATATCATCTTTTTTATATTGCTGTTGATTGGAAACAAGATTTTTTTCTTTTTGGTCTTTAAGGGTTTCCTACACCCATATATTAAATTTACATGTTACATATTTATATATTTTAGCAGCAGCTAAAATATACACTGATACAGAAGGATGCCCAAGGTGTATTTTTCAAGTGCAAAAGCAAGTTGCAGAATAAAATGCAGAGGATAATGTTGTTCTGGAAAATATACTCAATTAAAAACCTACTCTGGTGTGTAGAAGCAGATAAGACTATTAGCCGCGTGTGTACTACGTTTCAGCATGTTGTCGCTACTTCCTGGGGATGGAGTTGGACCGTGGGAAGGGAGGATTTTCGCTTTTATCACCTACGTTTTGAAAAAGAGAACAATGTAATAAGATTGAGATTTTTGTTTTGGCTTCTTTGGTTTACCCAAGTTTTCTAGAATGAATACATACTCATTACACTATTTCACAATGAGAAAAAGAATTTAAAACTCTAAGGAGTCCATCAGTCACTAAGGGAAGCACCTTTGAAGTCTTCTTGAAGTGGTTATAGAGCTGCATGCCATTTTGCAGGCAGGCAATTCAAATCCACCAGGTACACTGCAGGAGAAAGATGGACAGTCTCTTACCATGTGATTTACAGCCTATGAAAACCCACCAGAAGGTCAGCTGTAAATCTGTGCTGAGGGTAAAGAGTCATTTGTTGTGTAGATGTGGACAGATAATTTTTTAAGATCTGTTAAAAGAAGCTCTGGCGGCGTAGTGTGTAAAGTGTCAGGCTGCCAACTAAGAGGTTGGCAGAGTGAATGCACCAGCCACTCTGTGAGAAAAAGATGAGAGATGAGTTTCCCATAAAGATTTGAAGCCTCAGAAACCTGGCGGAGCACCACGGATTTGAGCCCAACTCAGTGACTATGGGTTTGGATTAATTTTGGTGGGTTTTTTTGGTATACTGTTAAGACCTTGCATAAACCCCAGAGAATGTTTCTCCTTATTACACTCTCCTGGAGGAAATGAGACTGGACTGATGTGGAAGAAGACTAACCAACACGGATCCTGCCTGAGCCTTGGTTTGTGGGAAACCTCCTGGCTAGCAACGCTTCCTTTTCTCAGTCTCCCCTTCAGACTTCCTTGCTCTACCCCCAGCTGAGTGGTCAGACTTTCGTTGGTGCTTGTGGATTAACAATTCTAATACTCCTGGTGGATGCTTCAGTTAATAATCAAATCAAGTGTATTTAAAGAAGCTCCTAACCAGTGAGCTCAGGTGGCCTAGTGGCAAGGAGCTGCACTCAATCCCAGAGATGAGTGGTTCAAATCCACCAGATGCTCTGCTGGAGAAGGGACAATCTCCTCCTGTACCAGTCAGCTCTGATTTGATGGTACAAAAAATAATAAAAATAAGTGAAAAAGAGGATGCGCTATCCAATGGCTCTGATTCTGTCTTTCCCTCCCTTTTCGTGCACAAGTGACTATGTGTGTGTTCCTCCTACGTTGACTATTTTGCTTTCCTTTTCTCAGATGCAGTGTTTGCGTTCCAGCTGCGTAACCCTGTCCACAATGGTCACGCTCTGCTGATGCAGGACACCCGTCGCCGGCTCCTGGAGAGGGGCTACAAGCACCCGGTCCTCCTGCTCCACCCTCTGGGCGGCTGGACCAAGGATGACGACGTGCCCCTGGACTGGCGGATGAAGCAGCATGCAGCTGTGCTGGAGGAAGGAGTCCTGGATCCCAAGTCAACCATCGTCGCCATCTTCCCATCTCCTATGCTGTACGCTGGCCCCACAGAGGTGAGACCACAGGACTCAGGTGTGCAGGCTCCTATTGAAAAGAGCAACGGAATCTCTAACTTCTCTGCTCTGAATAGTCTTCAGAACTGGCTTCTCTCCTTTGTCCCCATCTTAATTATGTTGTTTGTTGTTTTATTTTATCCTTGAGTTGACTCTCAACTCCACGAACACAGTGACCGAGTAGAACTGCCCCCCTCCTCGGGTTTTCTCATGGTCCTTTTTCTAAGAGCAGATTTCAGGGTTATTCTCTTGCAGAGTCACTGGGTGGGTCCCAGCCATTAGCCTTTTAAGTCGGTAGTTCACCAGAGCTTCTTCATATTCCTGTGTCAAAATGTTTGGGAACATCATCACATCAAACCTGTTAGGCGCTGCCCTTGAGAACGTGGAGGCTGGCGTGCGAATGGAGTGAATGTAGCAGCTTAGCTGGATTATAGAGCAAGTTCTATCTAGTCTAATTCCGTTTCAGAAGTTTCAGTTACCTTCAGTAATTCACTATATCCTGCGAGCTACAAGAGAAGTGAGAAGGTGCTTTTAATCTCTCTCTCATCACAAAACAAGTGAGAAAATCAAGCAGGTTTTCTCTGTCCTACCATACACGGTGGTGCATGTGTCGGAGTTTGTGAGAGGTGTGATGAATTGATAGTGTCAACCGTTTGGAAAGTCGTAAATGGAGTTTGATAAATCCTCTTCAGTCAAGTCAAAGTCCCACGCCCTATCCCCTCTCTCTAACCCTGGTGTTCCTGCATGAGCTATAAAGAGATCAATTCATTTTGAATTCTTAATTCCAATGTTGACCTGGAACCACTATCCGCATATGAAATAAAATTCGCTCACTATTGAGAATAAGAGATGTTGGCATTTGTATTTTCCTTTAAACTGTGGTTTTATTCTGGATAGAGAGGAGGAACTGGAAAGTCTCATTCACATAGCCTGTGAAAGAACAGAAAGATCTGACTGTTCTCCATCTGCAAGCCTGTTTGGAAAGGCGATGAGGAAGTATAACCTTGAGTTCTAAGGGGATATTTTTATCTGCAAAGTTTCTATTTCCCAGCAGCTCTGTAGGAGAGAGATGGACAGTCTCCTTCTTTACAATTTACAGCCTCTGAAAACCCACTGGAGGGTCAGCTCAGACCCTTTTACCTAAGTTATTTCTGACTCAGCAGTGAGTGAGTGGCTGAGCGATTTTAAGCAATAGTCTCACAGGTCAAACAAGGATCTGAAGAGGAAAGAGAGAGTCTTAGACACCTTGGTGCTTTGCTCGCAATTTCCAGTTCACTCGTATCACTGAATTATCTCAAAAGCAGTAAAAACTGTCTCAGTGAACAGGGACCCATAGAGTTGGCCAGTGGTGACCAGCATGTCCCTTATGTGCTGTTTCCTAGGTCCAGTGGCACTGCAGGGCCCGGATGATTGCAGGGGCCAACTTCTACATCGTGGGCCGGGATCCTGCTGGAATGCCCCACCCGGAGACCAAGAAGGACCTGTATGAAGCCACTCATGGGGGCAAGGTTCTGAGCATGGCCCCTGGCCTCACCTCTGTGGAAATCATTCCTTTCCGGGTGGCTGCCTACAACAAAGCCAAAAAAGCCATGGACTTCTATGATCCATCTAGGTAGGGATTCCCAGGAGGAGCTTTCCGTCAGCATCTGGGATGGTGGGCGAGGGAAAACGTTGACCCTTGGAAACCTGAGACTTTCCAGCCCATTTCCACATGCACCATATTAGAATGGAGGTCTGTGAGAATCAAGACTTAGTATTTCACATTTCATGTCCTCTAAAGTGTTAGCATTGGAAAAAGACATCATGCTGGGAAAGGTGGAAGGTCAGAGAAGAGGAAGACCCTCGACAAGATGGCTTGACTCAGTGACTGTAACAACAGGCTCGAGCAGGTCAGAGGTCATGAGGACGGGGCAGGGCAGGGCAGGGTTCGTGTCTGCTGTTCATCAGGTCACTATGAGTGTTTAACTTGATGACAGACAGCAAAGTTGTAGTATGTACATACATTAGATGCTCAGCAAATAGTCCAACATACATGCTTTGAGCAAGCAGTGGGTGTCAGACACCCTAAGAAAGGCATTCAGCATAGAAAAGAGACTTCAGGATTAATGATGCACTCACCAGACAGACTCTCTTGACCTAGTGTTAAAGAGCTGTGCTGCCAACTTAAAGGCACGTAGTTCAAATCCACCAGTAGCTCTGCAGGAGAAGGATGGGCAGTCTCCTCCCATGCAATTTACTGCCTCTAAAAACCCGCTGGAGGGTCAGCTGTGGGTTTGTTCTGACCCGATGGTACACACCACCACCACCGAGGTCAGTGCTCACAGGAATAGTCAGGAAAACAAGTCAGTCTTTGGCCCCTTCTGTTGCTCACAGCAGAGACACAGTGAGTTCTAAAGATACTGTCAGTTCTAGCCTCCTGTGTGATTTACAGCCTCTGAAAACCCCCTGGAGGGGCAGCTATGAGTCAGGTCCAACTTGATGGCAATGAGAGTTTTCCTGACTCACAGAGACCTTATGTATAGTAACAAGGAAATGTGTGTCCTGTGCTGACTTCAGGATTGCCAGCACGTTGGAGTCCTTTAATGAGGCTGTTGTGTCAATCCAGTTCACTGTGGGCTTCCTGTTTTAGCAGAGGAGACCTGGTAGTGCAGTAAGCACAGTGGTTCAAACCCATGGGCTGCTATGTAGGAGAAAGATGGGGCAGTCTCTTTTCAGTAAAGATTCACAGCCTTGGGAACCCAAGGGGACATGTCCGCTCCGTCCTCCAGCATCCCTGTGAGGGAGAGCTTACTCAATGGCACACGTGCTACTTTGTCAGACATGGCATGTGTGTACTTTTTCCAGCAACTGGCTTTATTTCCATTTTTCACTGCCGACTTTGAAAGAAGATGCAAAGATAATTTAGACATCTTACTATCTCTTACTTTATTTATCGAGTTAAAGTTACTATAAATTATATTGTAAAAAGGTGGCTCTTAGAAACCACCATAGGACGTCTATGCAGTTAATATTAGTTTGACTTCCTCTTGAGAATTTGTGGCCAAGTGGGTAAGGAGAGGCACCACTAACCCAAAGGGCAGACGATTTGATCCCACCAGCTGCTCCACAGGAGAAAGCTGGACAGTCTACTGCCGTGCAATTTACAGTCTCTGGAAACCTGCTGGAGGGTCAGATAACAGTCACTTCTGACAGAGGTGAGTTGACCCTAAATCAGTTTGCTATTGTTGTAGCTGGACTTCCAGTAGGTTTTCAGAGCCAGTTAATCACATGGGAGTAGGTTGCCCATCTTTTTCCTATGGAGCAGCTGGTAGATTCAAAATCATGTTCTTAAATAGCAGTATGTTGTTGTTGTTGTGTACTACGGAGTCACAACCAACCTCATCCTCCAGTGGGTTTTCAGAAGCAGCTAATCACTCAGGAAGAGATTACCCGTCCTTCTCCCATGGAGTAGCTGGTGGATTTGAACCATGTGCCTTCAGGAGTACAGTGCAGTTTTTTACCCCTAGGCCACCAGAGCTCCCTAAATACCAGTATATATATCAGGGTCTATATTTTGACAAGATTCCCAGATGATTCTTATGGATTAAAAAAAAATCACCTGGAGAATTTGTTAAAATGCAGATTCTGATTCAGTATATCTGGGATGAAATGCAAATTCTCAGCAGGGGGTCAAACAGAAATTAACTGGTTAGATTTTCCTGAATCTATCTGGAGTAGATACAAAGTCTCACACAAATTCTCAAATGCAAATTTTCAGTAGAAGGTAGAACTGGAAACAATGCTGTTTAACAGCCTTATTTAGAACCCATACCTTAATCTTGGGAGCTCTAGTGGCATGGTCTGTAGGGAGTGCCACTGTTAACCTGAAGGCAGTCAGTTTGAATCCACCAGCTACTCTGAAGGAGAAGATGGACAATCTCCTCCCATGAGATTTACAGCCTCTGAACAAATGAGGGAGGGTCCAGCTATGTGTTGGCTTGAACTCAACAGCAGAGAGGAGAGGGAGAGAGCCCCATGTAGGAACACTTACTGTAGATCTAGTGGGTGTCACTTACCAGGATTGAGCTTTTTGTTCATATTTTGTGACAGGCACAATGAGTTTGACTTCATCTCAGGGACACGAATGAGGAAGCTCGCCCGTGAAGGAGAAAACCCCCCGGATGGTTTCATGGCCCCCAAAGCCTGGAAAGTCTTGACAGATTACTACAGATCCCTGGAAAAGAACAACTAAATGCCTCTGGCTCCAGAGGTTTCTTCTGAAGTGTCCTTTGATTGCCTTTTCTATTATTTGTGATTAGATGCTTTGTATCCAATTGCTTCTGAAGGACTGATTCTGAAGTTACAATTTCATAACTAGGTGAATATTGTGTCTCTAAAGTCAACTTGAGCTTTTTCTTTTTTTAACAAACTGGAGACCAAATAGCACCAGATGAAAGCAATATTTGTCAGACATTTCAGAGTGAAATTAGCTGTAGTAGTTTCTAAGCAGGTAGCTCCCAGATTCTTCAAAGCCTTCACTGCCAGGGGTTGACGTTACTTGCCAGGAAGTAAAGCATATTTTCCAGCTTAAATCTTGCCAAACTGCACTTTCCTAAGGGCTTATTATAATAGCAAAAGAAATCAGATGACCAGCATTTTCTGTCCTCTTCACGAAAGGGGAAAAAAGATTTCTCATTCTAGGTGAAGTGTGGCTTCTCGTCAAGATATTTGTTAATGTTTTGCCTCATGCTTGTACACAACTTTAACTGCCCAATCTCTTCATTGAAGACCCAACTGTAGAAACCAAATATATGAAAATGTGAATTTAACTGCATAGATCTATGCTAGTCCCACCACGAAAACTATGATGTCCAATAACTAGAGAATGTCTTGGTGGGCTTTTTTGGGTAATGTAACTCAATTAAATGGTGACTGTAAAGTTGAGGGCTTTGATGTGAAAAATGGATTTACAGCCAGGCTTCAACCAACCTGGTGATGCTCTGGGAAGTTAGCTGTCCCACTCTTTGCTGTGATCATTGAGTCTTCCAGAGAGACGGGGTCTATGCAGCTACAGAAGAGTGAGCTATAACCAGAAACCAATACACACACACACACACACACACACACACACGATGCTAGAGAAGGCTGCAGAAAAAAGGAAGTCCAGAGCTTCTATTTTGTAAGTGAACATGCACGTATGTTCTGTGAGCTTCTGTAATGAAGACACAGCCTTGTATTTATGGAAGTCATAGTGAGTCATAGGAGCTAGGATGACCTGTTAGCAAATGGTTTAATGATGGCACTGAGTAGGCAGGCCTTACACTCCCATTCTGGTATAACGCAGAAGATGGCCTCAATCCCCTCTGTGTAACACAGTTCCTTGAACAAAGAGCACTTAAAAAGTAGCCTCCTTAGATGGAAAAACGTCTAGAATCTTCTAAGCCCAGCTTATTTTTTTGCAGTTTGAAAAGAGAATTTTCCAAAGGCTTAAATTATTCTGAGACATCCAACCTTTATTTCCCAGAGGCAATCCTTTACTCCTTTTATATGCTTTACTCTGGCAAGGACTAGATGAAGATACAGCAGCTTTTATACATAGGTCTTTTTGGAAGAGCCATAAACTAAAAAGACAAAACTGTGATTATTTTTTCCCTTCATACTGTTAATTGTTAAAAAAATATTAATCTTAGCTAATTAAAAGTCTTCTGAGAAAAAAAATTACTTACAATGGCCACCTCCAAGTGTAGCTGTGTATGTAGTTACCGCCTGTACTCAGTTAATCAAAGGCACTCAGGATGGACTGGGTTTTTAAACAAGTGTATTTATTGAAAACATGAGACTGGATTTCGTGCCTTAACTGATATATTTTGTGATTTTTAAAAATATATTTAAAACTGCTGTCTGCTTTCATACCAAGAGCAAATGAACTATTTCTATGTACAACTGATGCCTCTTCTTATTTTAATAAATTTCTCAAAATGAAGGTGGAGTCATTTCTTCTGGTAATGGTAGGTGTGGGTTGGCCACTTGGCTGGCAAGGACTTCGTGTAGCTAGAGAATGATGGTCATGTCATTGTCAAATGTGTTCTAGCTGTGTGAATGGTCTCAGTGGAGCACCAGTGATCACTTCAGAGGTGACCATGTACTTTAGGGTCCTCACACCAGGATTTCATAGCATAAAGAACTTTAAAAAAAAAAAAAGACTTTAAATAAAGCCTAACTTGTTTCTATGTTTTCCAAGGAAAAGATCTTGGTCTACACATGCTCCCCAGGAGTTACACTTGTAAATTTAGTGGTAGTTGTGGCTCTTTTTTTCCCCTTCCCAGCAACCCCCATACCTCCTCCAACATGTAGAAAGGATACCTGTTTCCGCCACTGCTACCGGTGGTCTACAGAGAGGTTTATTTGCTTCAGATTTTTCATCTCTTTGGAGTAATTCTAATTTTTGTTGGTGTGTTTTGTACCATAAATACAGATATGTTATTGTTGTTAAGTGCCATCAAGTTGTAGATGACTCATGAACCTTATGAATGAAAGACCTGAACACTTGTATAACTTTCATCGTTTCTCAAGTCCATAGAGTTTCTGGAGGCACGCTAGAAGTTGTTGCCACTCCTGCTTCAGAGCTTGTTTTAATTGGGAAGCTTAACCAAACACTGTCCATCATGGGTAACTGCTATCGCATTTGACACATTAATGTAACAGTGTTTAGCATCACAGCAACCACAAGTTACCTCTGTATGTCTCTCTCTCTCT